AAAACCAAACCGGGAATGCGGCTGGGAGCGAGGGATGCGGCGCTGGCACTGCTGTCCCCAAATGTCCCCTCCGTGCCTGCAATCGTGGAAATGTTGGGATCGGGAGATTTGGGGATCATCCTTAGGGAAGGAAGGGACAATTCCCGCCGTCCCCGTCCAGCCCGGCCTTGGGCAGTGCCAGGGATGCGGCACCACGGATAAATCCGGGAATTCTGTGCCAGGGTGTCCTCACCAGTGTCCCTGGCACTGCAGGTGAGTCCCTGAACTCCAGGTGAGTCCCTGGCATTCCAGGTGAGTCCCTGGCACTCTAGGGATGTCCCTGGCATGGATGGGACATTCCAGGTGTGTCCCTGGCATTCCAGGTGTGTCCCTGGCACTGCAGGTGAGTCCCTGGCATGGATGGGACATTCTAGGTATGTCCCTGGAATTCCAGGTGAGTCCCTGAACTCCAGGTGAGTTCCTGGCACTCCAGGTGTGTTCCTGCCATGGATGGGACATTCCAGGTGTGTCCCTGCCACTCCAGGTGAGTCCCTGGGATCCAGGTGTGTCCCTGGCATTCCAGATGTGTCCCTGCACTTCAGGTGAGTCCCTGAACTCTAGGGGTGTCCCTGGCATGGATGGGACATTCCAGGTGAGTCCCTGCCACTCCAGGTGAGTCCCAGTGGGATTCGTGTGTCCCAGGTGGAAAAATCCCAATTTTCATTTGAAAGCAGATTTTTCAGGCACCAAATTATTCAGAATTTTTAAAATCTGCTTTAAAACCCCCACATCCTTTTTTTTTTTTTCCTAGGAATACTGCAGGAATTTCCATGGTTTTTTTCTTCATTCCAGCAGTTTTTTAATCGTGATAATCAGGAAAAATCAACCCTGGGATGTTTTTTAAGGATGAAAACAAAGAGGGGAAAACACGGATTGTGCTCCAAGGTGGGAATTCTGAGTGAAGAATTTTTTTTTTTTTTTTTTTAAAGGAATAAACCTGCAGGAACTTGGAATTTCTTCCCAGAGATTCCCAGGGAATGTCCAACACTGCCAAAGGGAAGTGGCAGCAGGAATTTAGGATTAAATCCCCAAAAAAAAATCCTTCATCCCATTCATTCCTTGGGAATCCCTGGAAAAAAAAAAAAATCCAGTTTGTTCATCCAGGCACCTTCACCCCTAATTTTGGGATAATTTTGGGATAATTTTGGGATCATTCCCCAATAATTTCAGCTTCCCCCTGGATGGAATTCCCTTCTTTAAAACCCAAGGAATGACAAATTCATTCTCACCACCCAGAAATCCTCGGATTTTGCATTTTTTTTTTTTTCCCCCAAAATTTATCTTGCAAATCTCTTTTATTACAACACATGGATTAGTCCTGAAGAGTTTCTTATGTACAGAAATAGAATTTTTTTTTTTTTTTTTTTTAGGTAGAAAAAAACCCAACAAAGAAGCAACAAATCAAGGAAAAGAAAAAAAAAAAAAATCCATAGAAAGCCAAATCCAAACTTTTCCCCGAAAATGATACAAAAATAAAAATCTTGAGGATCACAGTTTTGATTTAAATCCCTCCCACGGATTTGAAGGAATTTCAGAGGGAAAAGGGGGAGCTCTGGGATGGGTTTGGTGTTAATTCCATTTTTTTTTTTTTTGCTGGAAAAAAAAAAAGGAGGTTGGAGAAGGGGGAAAAGCTCATCCAAGCAGTGGGAATAAAAATCTCATTTTTCTCAAGTTTTTACCCTTTTGCAAACACATTTTTTTGTTTGTTTGTTTTTAAATCCCATTTTTCCAAGCAGCTGTGGATTCCCCAAGGTTCTCCAGAGCACCAAGAAATCCGAGTTGTCAATTTAAAAAAAAAAATAAAAAAAATAAAAAAACCCCAAAAAACTGAAGCACCAACATTCCCAAAAATCCCAAGGATTGGGAGATCCATGGGAAAACCAACTGGGAAATCCATGGAAAAATGAGTGTAGTGTGATTTCCTTGGAATTGTCATAAATCCACACATTTTTCCTCTTAAAATTCCACTTTTTTCTTTTTTTTTTTTTTTTT